TCCATCCTCAAGTTCCAGGAAACAGTGGGTAGAACCAGACGGTAAGGAAACCGTCTTGGTAGAGTTTACACATAAATGATGAAAGTCATCGATCACAGCATCAGTCAGCCATCCTGGGTGATCTTCATCATATTTTATGGATGGGCCTACGCAATGAAGCTGGAGTTTATTTAGAACTCCACACTCTGCACGCTTCAGTTGGATGGCCAGACTTTTTAAGTCGGCAAATGTGATTTTCGGGTTGCTTAGAATTGTAGACTCAACATTGGTTTGCGATATTGGTGGAATGAGGTCCAGCGCAATATAGCGTAACTTTTTGATTGCACTTGCCGCTATTAGCCAAATGATAATGTTAAAATGGGTTTGGAGGAATAGACAAATGGACAAAGTTTCGTTACTATACCTTGTGTTGGCGGTGCGACGTCCTGATCCGATGACTTTTGGCAAGCTAATCCACCTTAATAAATGTATGATATTTGTTTCTAGGGTTATTAAGAAATTAATTTGGTCGCGAACCAGTTGATGATGTAGGAGAGGATGGGGTTAAATTTGGAATTTTTCCCTGGCGTGATAGGGCAAGGCTAGGCTTGACGCCAACGCGCCTAGACCCTTTCTTCCCGGCCCTCTTGACCCTAGTGGAATTATAAATATTTGACATATTCCGCCTGACCTGCCGTTTGCCCATTTGAGCAGGTTTGTAGGTGTCTAAACAATAAAATTAAGTACGGAATAAGTGGCAAATAAATATTTATTATTGAATGAGGGCTTACTTGTATTTAACATGACAGCTAACAAATGAGAGCATGTGTCTCGCCTTGCACAAGTGCAGGTTTGATTTCCAAGATGTACCTGTAATTAATAATGAGGGTATTCATTATTTCTTCGTATCCTTAGTATTCTTCGTATCGTAAAACAACTTACGACGCTCACGAGATTTTGTAAGCGTCGTAAGATTTTCTCATCGAAAATCGCGTTACTACGCTTACGATTTTTACGAAACCTGACCCCTTGTTTTATCTTCGTAAACTATTTTACGATACTACGGATACGAAGAAATAACGAATACCCTCAATGTCTTTGGTAAATTGTCAATATATGCACACACAAGATAATATCGTCAAAGTCACTCACATTATGTGCCGGTCCGAATAATCCACGGACAACAAATGTCCCCGATGCTGGTGCGAATTCAATGCGTCTCTTCATGACCAGCATTTTAGCTATGCCCAATGTTGTAGTAGGGACAGGTCTTGGTTTTTCTGCATTCCCTCGAGAGACGCCTTCCGGTATCTTCCCGTCGATGACCACTGATTTTATTATCACAGGATAAATTACGTCTTGAAATTTCTGAATGGGTTGGAGTTTCTGTGCCACATCTTTGTAGTTGTCTGTCACTCTCCAATTACCATGTCCTGTCAGTCCGCGTGTAATCTCCATAAGATTAAACGCTTGGAGATAGTAGACGCTTAATCCAACTTGATAAAATCCGGCTGTTTTGCACTTGATGACTTGTTTAACTGAAAAATTTGCAGATTCTGCAGCGTTGTTTGTAATTCCACTGTCTGGGTTGTAGATTCCCAATTTTTGAATTGCCCAACGACCACTGTTGATCACATCTGTATTTATATACGTATTGTAGTAATCTTGAAATTGCGGGTCCCAAGTTTCTCTGAAGTCTTCCAGCATTAGCACGTACTCATCTTCTGTTTCACAAGATAGTAGTTGGAAAAAATCTGCCCTGTAGTTGTGAGCTGCCTCTACTCCAAAATGTTTTTGAGCCCAGGTCCCCACATTCTAATATAAATTAAAAACCCATGATAATAAATAGCTTGTAAGTAATTTGTATTAAAAATTACTTCTAGTATAGATGTGAATACATAATGAAGGTACTTACATCTCTTAAGTGGTTCCAGCAATATCTACTCTGTGCATCAGTAAGGTTTAGCCTTATTGCCGCGGATATTGCAGCCTCACGATCAGTTATAATAATTGTCGTATCAGAATTTAATAACGGCAGTTCTTGACATAAAGATTGAAACATTTGGCTGTGACTGGACGTATCAGAAGCTTCATGCATGCATGATCCAATAACTATTATTGGGTCCTTCTAATAATGGATATCTCATTGACATTAAACTTAAGTAGAATCCACCCACCCCATACGTTGTGTCGTAGTGAAATACAACATACTCGTTTTTTGTTGAAAAAATTTCTAACAGGTCATTGGCGTGAGCCACCATAGCGGGATGCGCCACAACTACGTTTACTTTGCTTGCGAGTTGAAAATTTAAAACAAATTTCTCGTATTCTCGTGTCATGCAAAATAATTCGTACATGTCATCCCTAACTGACGTTTTTCTTTTGATCTCTGATGCAATGTTGTAGACTTGTCGAATGTTCCTGGGTTGTGAGGATGGACTTATGTCGTCAAAAGTTGCCATTGTCGCTTGTCTGCAAAGTGATAAGTCATATGGACGTTACAGATTTTTTAAAAGGTATTATCATATTTGCAAAGTACACCTGTATACAGCGGTTGGTTTCATGGTTGTCGACTGCAGCGTCTCTGAAAGATTTTTCTTAGCACTTTTATGTGATGTAACAAATGGAAATTCAGTTCGATCTATTACAAAATATCAAAACAAATATAATTTAAAAGTAAACAAAACCTCGTGCAAAATTTCATTTGTAACTACCATCATCTACATCCTCATAATCGTCATCGTCATCCTGTACATTCTTTCCCTTGCCTTGTGACTGAGGGGTTTCCGGGTCTAAAAATTTAGCAATAATGAAAATATGCGTGACTCAGGAGAGAAAGTGATTAACTACATTACCTTTACTTATAAACGCCTTCACTGGAGTCTTGCCTGGACTAGAATCTCCATGAAGTAATCGCCTTGCCCTGTCACCTGCATAACATCCAGGGCGTTTTGTATTCCCATGTGCTGCTGGCACAGCAGACTTGTACCTAAAGTCGCCATTGTAAAATCCAAGGACATAGCCAGGATTCCCATCGACTGTATATTCACTTCTGAAAAACTGAACACTGGATCCATTGGAAAGAAGTTGGAATAGCCGAAGCTTTAAGTTGCCCACATTTTTGGAACGGATACTCTTCCAACTCTTTCCATCGGCACGCCAATACATCGCCCCAGTTTTATCGACCTGGTACACGTACACCTAGAGAAAAGGTAAACCCGATTTGTAGCTGGATCTAATCAAAATTTCGAGAAAAATCTAAAACCAAAGATCCTAATTTTTTCTTCTGACGCATATAAATTCAATTTCTTGGGGATTTTATTTCTGCATATTTGGGTCAACTCTTGATCATTTGTGTAGCAAATACAGTTGCCAACAATGATTTTGAAAATTTCAATTTGTAAATTTCGCCCCATAACCTTAAATTTAAATTTGCAATTTCTACTAACATCTAGTTGTTAATATCTGAATTATTTACCTCTTCATTTGCAGGATTGGGGGCTGCCACCATTGAAACTTTGGATTTGTTAACTTTTTCAAATATTTTTCTGAACAATGTTGCATCCTTGGTAGTTGGTAGTACAATATAACTTTGACTTGGCTTGGAAAGCAGTGGGCGGATTGACAACGCGTTCGTTAGACCCAGATCCAGAAGGAGAACTATCTTCTTTAATTGATTTATCTGATTGCACAGAAGAACGATCGGAAGTGGAACCTTTCGTATGTGTCTCAATACTTGAGTGTGATTGTGCATCGCTACTTCCTATGTCCCTCTCCCTGGTAAATCGAGTGTTTGACTTAAGACTTTCGGATTTCTCATTATGTTGTGATATATTTTTTGCTGATTTAGTTCTTGGGTTCATCGAACTAGTACTGGATTTTCCCTTATATTTTGAATCCTCATGAATTGTGAAGAGTGATTTCGTTCGTCCAAGTTTTTCCTTATAACTATCACTAAACTTGGTGGACGTTGTTTTGGACTTCTGATTTTTCTCTCCTTCATTCTCTGCAAGTTTTTGATGTCTTGCATTTCCAGATTTACGCGAAATATTTTGAAGGCTTTGGGATAAATTTTTAGAGATGTTGTGTTTTCTCTGGCTCCCCCCTGGTTCAAGAGTTTTTGACGACTGCTTTTGACTACGTCGATGGACCCTATCTGACCTTGTAGGAGATATGGACCTTTCTTCCTCCACCTGATCCTGATTGGATTCAGCTCTATTTCTCGCAGACGAGGTTTTTTTTGAAAACGCAAATTTATTTTCACTCATTTTCAGTTCTATGGATAAGACCACTATCAACCAAGACTTGCGTTAACTTTATTCCTTCCACGGTTTTCAGAATTTCATGAAAAAAGCTTGTAGCTTGAATAACTAGCCTGTATCTTCAGCGATTACGAAGAGTACTGTTTCTACTTCTCAATTCAAATGCAATTATATTCTGTACTAGAATTTATTAAATGCATGAAATGTACCCCTAAATATGCACTAATGCTTCAATTATAAATATAATCGAAACGAATTGTAAAACGACCGGACACAGACTTGAATCCATATGTGCTACATTCATTTGTTGTTGTATACATTACACCGACGGAGCAAAATTATTGGCCTGCCACAAATTATTCTTGCATGCAAAAATTTCATATGCATTCTACTCCACGTAGTTCTAGTCCAACATTAATGCAAAGTTTGCACATCTAGTTAAATGTAAATATATTTTGTTCTTATTCATAATTTCAATAACTCAAAGTGGAATGCATTCCGTTGCAGATAATGCATATGAAGTATATCCTATCTTATGTAACACATAAGGTTCCAAGCACGAGTATTTCAAAATGAAGTCACAAAAATATGAAACAGATTAATCGTGGGTATAGACAATTGCCTTGAATTTCATCGAGACAGTCTACTACGAATTATTACTTACACAGAGTATTTTCACTCGTGATTAAAGTTTAAGTAAACATATTTATTTGTGCGAATAAAAATTGAATTAAAGTCAGCATCACCAACAAAGTAAACATGGATTCTACATCTGAAGAAGATTGGAAAGAAATTGAGGTAAGGTTCAATATGTTATAACTTTGTGGTTCAATGCATGAATTCTTACGGCAATGCCCTTTTTTATTTTTTGCAAAAAATTAATATTCACTTAAGTACCAATAGTATATATGTATAGATAAATATGCAAAGTGCTGCATGTTTCTTTATGTATTTCAAAACTAATTCATGCATTTTGAGATATGGCTTTGCATGTAAATATGATTATTTATTACCCTAGGCATCTGCATCTTCGATAATAGAAGAAGCCAGACAATTAGCAAAAGATGAGCCTGCTGTAGCACTCGAAATGTATGAGAAGTGCATATCGGTGCTACTTAATCATGTGCGCGAACTTATCCATGAGAAAATGACCAATGCAAGTGCCTCTGACACATCCGAGGTAAATTAAAATATATTTCTATACAATATAGTTCTATACCTCCCATCTCTTAAGATATTTATCACTGCTAAATAAAAACTTAATTCTAGGATGACGTAATTATACTTGGTAATAGTACACCTTCCGGTTCGTGTACGTCGCCAGTCACCAATTGCAGCGATCAGGCCTCCAATATCTCCTGCGGAAATGATCAAGAATACGACGAAGGAGGAACTTTTACAGGAAAAGAAGTGGAGAAACCCTTGTCTTGGGAAAACTGCATCGGACATTTAGCAGCAAAGAAGGAATTAGAACAAGCAGTTGTCTGGCCACTGAAGCATCCATGGCTGTTTGAATCAAGAATTCGAAAACCCTACAGAGGAATATTACTATTTGGAGTTCCAGGCGTGGGGAAGACTTTACTAGTGGAAAAGGCTGCTTCACTGTCTGGGGCACAGTTTTTCAACATTCGGGGATCAGATATAAAATCGGAGTGGTATGGCCGGTCTGAAAATTTTATTAAGAACATTTTCAGCAAGGCCAGAGAACACCCTCTGTATTTTGGGAGGAGGGCTCCTCTTGTTGGAGGAGCCCAATGCTCAGATCATCCATCAGATCTATTGCATATCCTCTTACTTACACCGTATGACAGTGGCTATCTAGTTGCTCAGGTATAATCCCCATATCTATTGATGAGATATGGGGATCGAGAAACCATTTAAGGATAGTAAGACAGGAAGAGACGCCGGCTTGCCGTAAGCACCACCACTCACCCCTGCACTTACGGGGCCAGTCCCACTCCGCCTATCCTCTACCCACCACTGCCTATTCAATCTGAATGTATGCCCCTTTGGACGCGAATACTGCCACGGAAAGGCAGCATGCTCAGTCCATTCTACTGAGTGTCCAGCTACAATGTGTGTAACTGGCACCCAGGGAGGGCTGCCCCAGCTGCCGAGATATGAGGGATCGAACCATAGACCTTCCGAGTGCCGAAAGCCACCGGTTCTCACAGAGAACACCCTCTCAGTATCATCTTCATTGATGAGATTGACAGTGTGGGAGGCGCCCGGCATGGATCAGAGAGCAGAGCAAGTGACGGGACCCTCACTGAGTTGTTGCAGGAAATGAATGTCGTATCTGATCGCTCCTGCGTGGTTGTTATAGGGGCAACTAATTGTCCATCAAAGTTAGACAAAGCTCTACTGCGGAGATTGGAGAAGAAAATACATATCATGCCGGATGTGGACACAAGAGAGAATCTCATTAAATACTACTTGGAGGATACATTGCACACCTTGGTTCTAGCAGACTTTAAAAAACTTGCCTCTCTAACGGAAGGGTAATTAATATTGAAAACCAATTTTTAAGAAACATATGAGGTGCTCCTTGACCTCCCCCCCGTCCCGTAGTTCTTGGACACTAGCCCCTCGAACCACCCCATTCGATGTAAGGTAAACAAATGTGAGACAGGGTTACTGGGTCATAGAATAAGAGCCACGAGGTTAAGCTCCTCCTCACAACAAATAGAAGTGCATAACCGTGTGTTTAATACATGATATACATATGATTTACAGGTTCACTGGAAGCGATATCGTAACTCTACTAAAAAATGCATCATGGATATGTTTGCCTCCGTGTCATAATAAAGACGTGAATCAGAAGAATGCACACCTATTGCGAATTACAATGGTAATAAAATATGTCATCCGTTATGTTATTAATATATATAATGATTCATCATTTCGTACACAGGAACACATTATGCAGGCGAGGGCATTGTTTAAGCCATCAGTGAATTCACATATGACGAAGGAGATGAATCAGTTTGGTGGATTTACTGCCACGGAACCCAGTTATGTCGAACCTAACTTCAAATCAGCAAAAAAGATGTTACATGGCGTCCTGAGGATGTTTTGAGTTTGAAAATGATCTTGGCTGCATTCTTAATACTTAATTAATGAAATACTTATTGATGACATTCTCTTAGAATATGTATGGCTGACATGCTTTGTAGGATTTACTAAATCTAATCAGTAGTTAGTGCATTGAAGCGTAGTATATAATCCTAACAAGTGTTAGATGCACACAAATTTTTCCAATAAAGTTCTAAGCTTTAAAGTTGGAACCAAATAAAAGTTAAGGAGCTTAATTTTATTGAAATCATGGAAAGTATTCCCCTAATTCGTGACCTTGTGTCACAGTCAGGCCCTAAAATATCTCATGGATTCTACAGGATTTTTACGAAATGGCTCCCAGTTTTTTTGGTTTCAATGACTGCGTTTATGTCCGGTAAAGAATTTTATGGTACGTACAACAGCTTTATTTTGTTCCGATAATCTGGATTATTTTACATTTACATGTCGCAAGTTTCAAATGATTCGACACTAATCTGTAGAAAAATTATACCATGAATTACAATACTACAAACTACTAGCACGCCAATTTTATTAGCAAAAAAATTCTTCAAATAATTTCGTCAAAAATAAATTTATTGTTAATGTGCACAAATTTATAGCATACAGTATACTTGTAACTATACAGGAAGACCAATTGTCTGTCTGCATGGAAAGCATGGTGGGCTTGATTACGTCGAGGCATATTGTTACAATTCTGGAACTCATACGGCTACATACCGAAGTTTGTAACGGTTTTTTTTACTACTTGTACTCTCCTACATTATGTAATATGTATGAATTCAAACACAGACGTAATAAATTACAGACCCATTTGAAATAAGTCCTGGCGTGCTTCCTCTACACCCTGGGGTCGAGGTGAATCATCATCGAATATATAAATTTATTTGGATTCTACCTCTTGTCCAGGCCTTGATTTTATTACTGCCTGGTTGGATGTGGTCATGGATGGAAGATGGACGACTAGAAGATCTTTTGCCACCAGAAAATGCTAGTGAAGACATTCGAGAAGCATCAACATCTTCTACGGTGAAATTTCTCTCTATTTATAAAGGGACGGCTACATCATACTTTACATCCTACTTTTTCTGCCACTTGCTTCACTTATTATCACTTTTTATTTGTATTTGCATGTCAAACATGTTATTCAGAGGAGAATTTTTGTGGTATGGTCTATCAGTTTTCCAGCAAACAGAAGATAGCGTACTTCCAGTAGTCGACTCAATTTTTCCATTAACGACAAAGTGCACAATTCCTTCGGCCGGTCCATCAGGTAGTAGAGAGACAAACGATGCTATATGTCAAATGACATTAAACGACATTTATCGAGTTGCATTTTTCGCCCAATCCTGTTAACTTTAAGCGATTAGTCATCGCATTTACTGCTTCCCACGTACAAGGGCTAGTTGCTCCACATTAACTTTTTTATACAAAAAACTTTTTACAAACAAATTTTAAGTTCAATTTAAAAGCTTCAATATACCGTCTTGTTTAAAATTCCTGCATATGCAAATGTAATAAGGTCAATATATATAATTAGTATAGACAGCAAACCAGCAGCAATTTCCATAACCTTTATTAAACTTATTTAACACCTATTGTCAACACTGATAAACAATGTGTAATAATAAAACCTATCAGTACAGCTTTGTTCAGCCCGAACCAGGATTGATTTATAAATCCATGTTTGCCAGAATGCTACACTATTTTTCACTAATTCTTGCATTAACTAACGTTAGTTTGTGTAGTATTAATTGGCACCAAATACGACGAACAGTGTAGGCTGTTCCTATAAAATTTCGACATTCAACCCTCCTAAATTTTAATCATAATTTACTTTTCGACTCCACACTAAATTTTAGTTGAATATATAAACTCTTAGAAATGGGGGTGGGGGTGGATGGGGGTGGATGGGGGTGGCAGGGGGTGGGGGTGGGGGTGGAAGAGGGTGGGGGTGGGGGTGGATGAGGGTGGGGGTGGGGGTGGATGGGGGTGGGGGTGGGGGTGGATTTGATGGGGGTGGGGGTGGGTGAGGGTGGAAGTGGGGGTGGATGAGGGTGTTGGTGGGGGTGGATGGGGGTGGGGGTGGATTTGATGGGGGTGGGGGTGGATTTAGGTGGGGGTGGGGGTGGGGGTGGATTTGGGTGGGGGTGGGGGTGGATTTAGGTGGGGGTGGGGTGGATTTAGGTGGGGGTGGGGGTGGATTTAGGTGGGGGTGGGGGTGGATTTGGGTGGGGGTGGGGGTGGTTTTATAAATGCCGCTTTAAGACACAGCTAAAGAAAATATTTCATGTAGATATTTTGACACGAAGGAAAACATTAATAAAGTACTGTGGCCCAAAGAAGGCTTATTTTTCCAAATAATGCCAAATTTACCGAAAAGGGCCACCATGACGGACACAGACATTTCCGGATGAATTGGGAAAATGAGTATGTATGGGATGTGAACAAATATTAATATATGCGCGGTTTCAAAAATCATTTAGTTAATTAGCGTTTGTATGTAGATAATAATTTACGCAGGCTGGATTATGCATATCTACTTATATTATTTTTAACTTGATATTTAGGGAAACATGAGACGTCACAATATACATTGCAAATAAAACCATTGACGACTCGGTCAGTACATATTTTTTGAAAATTGGGGTAATGTTGTTAATCTCGATCGAATTGATAACATGCTTAACATTCTCGCATATTGATAAATAAATATGGATATGTATGTCTACAAGCTACATACATACATACGCGTGTCAAGTGATTCCAGACAATGAAACTATTGCGAAATTGAGATAAGTTACACAACCTGCTTGATAAATACTTAACCACACCTTAAACCACTTAAAAATTATATTTAGTATCATGGTACGCAGTTTGTGGCAGCATTGTCATCTCATCCGTGTAGTAGTACAAAAAATAATTGCTTAGTAAATTTCAGAAAATATTTAGCAATGACTATCCAGAAATATTTTGTTATCATCGCAGCAATAATTTGCCTCGATGGAATGAATGGTATTAAACAGTTTATTAAGAAACTATTAAATCTTGTAAATAATTCAAGAATTAAGTGACAATACATACATATTTTAGGTCAGGTTCCAATCCCGAATTTGGCATATGGCCCCGATCCAGCGCAGGTAATTGATGTGTACCTGCCATCCCTGGATTTGGGGAGGGTTTCCAAAGTGATCATTCTAATTCATGGGGGTGCCTGGGGTGGAGGACAGAAGGCGGATATGGCGGCGTGGGTCCCATTCTTACAGGCACTCCTGCCAGAATATTGCATCACGAATATGGAGTATCGACTAGGTTTGTGAAATTTTGAAGTGACGTGAGCCGCTTTTTGTGATCGTTTTGTCCGTCCGCTTACCTGTACGACCGTTCGTCGTTAAACAAGATACATATTTCTAAGATGCGTCAATATATGTAATCTAAGGTCGTTTTCGCCATTGCGTTTCAATTTTTAATCTCCTGATCGAGTCTGAACATAGGGTCGCTAAGGTCAAGGTCAAAGGTCGAACTCGAAGGTGACCCTGTGACTCGGTCAAAAGCTCAAGAATAACTTAATTTGTATATGTCGTCATTTTAAAGAAAATTTTGCCATAAATTCAAGTTCATCAATATTTTTTTTAACCGATCAACCCATGACCTTTACAACGAGGTTGAAGGTCCCAAACCACATACCGTTATTTTGCTGTGTAATTTTTCATTGTGCTATAGCGCATAACGCAACTTTTTTGCTAGATTAACACAGTTTATTTACATATTGTGTAGAAATTTATTTAAGGAATATTTCCCCAAATTTTTAGGAACTCGACAAAGTCCCGGATTTCCCAAGCAACTTGAAGACATTCACTTAGCCATTTCCTTCCTCAAATCCAGTTTCACCCAAAATGTGACCTTTGCCCTTTTTGGCGCCAGCGCGGGCGCCCACTTATCCATGCTCTACGGCTACTCGAGAGACAGCCAGACAAAGGATGTTAGAGCAGTTGTGAGTCTCGTAGGACCGGGCGATCTTACAGATCCGGGCTACACCGAAAACCCGCTGCTAGCCGACCTATTTCTGGACCTTGTTGGACCCTGCTATTACTCAGAATGCCCCCAACTGTACAACGCGACTAGCCCAACGGTTTATATTTCCCGCGATTCCACACCAACACTCGGCTTTTATGGAAATGTCGATCCCCTCGTGCCGATCAGTCAAGTGCCCTTGATTAGAGATAAACTGAATTCGTTCGGTGTCATTAATCAGTTCACGGTTTATTTGGGAGGACATGGCGATTGGGCGTGGGAATACACGCAAGATTTGCTGGTGCAAACGGCGATTTTTTTCACGATGCATTGGGTTTAACGAAGTAAAAATTATGCCAGTGCCTTCTTGTGGGTTTAATTATGCTTACATACACTCTAAAAAGTATATGTACAAGTATTTAATAAAACTTATGTAAATATTTATTTAGCATGCAGACTACATGAAAAGAAAACTTTTGCTTCATTTGATTTGGGTGGGTGTGGATTTATGTGTGGAATTATTAATGCCGAATTATTAGAGGCAAATAAGTAGCCATCTTAATTATCTAAAGAGCAAGTTACGACTATAACCAATACACAAATGATTATTTTATTCACCACGAAGCAATTTGAAACACACATATACGTATTTACGTATTGGCGAAATGTTACGGAATCAGTTACCATATCGAAATTCAAGCACCAATTAGTCGTCAAATGTCAGAGAAATTGGTCTCGTCCATGACCAATTATCGTAGACAGAAGCCTCCGATTAAAGCCAATCAGTTTCTCACATTTCTTCGTAAGCATTTCAGCAGGGTGTTGCAGAGAAACTTCTCATTCCTAAAATTGCTTTTTCAGTTAGAACAATCGTTTGGTTAGATTCGTGTAAAATTAGTTTTTTTGTGTGCGAATTACTTTATTGCTTTTCAAAGAAATAGGTGGTAGTAGAACTTTTCTTAATAAACAAGATTCTTAATATCTCTATCTTTGAGTATCACCAAAACTTGGTTTTGGTTACGTTTTCAGTTAAGAAATTCACATATTTTTTCAAAAATTTCTATTTGCCATATTAACGTTTTTTTGTAACGCGCAACATACATCGGAAATTAATTTTAAAAAACAAACTATGTGCCAACCTTACTTTCGTAAATGTGGACTGTGTGATTTTGAAAAAGAAAATTCCTAACACATTCACATATGCACCTTCACTCAAACACCCTGTTCAATTAAGAATAAAGTCACAAGTCTATTTCATATAAGTAATTTCCCAAATTGGTTAATGACAAGATTGATTATGTAGTTGATAATCTGAAATTCAGAACAATCCTCGCGACGCGTTAAGGACATTCGTGCAAATCAGCGATTTGCGAAATATTTCACCACCTGCAGAAATGTTTCTGTTCGAACAGTTCCTCCCATATTTCGAATATCTCTTTAAAATATGTTCAATTTTCAAGTTCACTAGAATTCATTCTACAAAAAACAAACTTACCATTAAAACGAATTTCTCTCGTCGTTCTAAATTAATCATGTTATCGAGTCGCATCTCATGCTACTTTTTTGCCGTGTTTCTAATCCTCAACGCGATTTATTTTAATATCACGGGGAAAATTAGACTTACCGAGAACGTGGTCAGTTCTTGTCTCACCTTCGTGTATGCTATAGTTTGCCTTTTTAAACTGTATGTGAATCTCGACGATGAGAATATGGTGAATTTGGTCAACTCCATAATTACAATGGAACGATTGTATAAAGACCCCAGGGGTAAGCATTTTACGGTAGTTTTTGTACAGGCTGGTTTAAATGTCAGTTTACAATGGACAATTTTTCATTGTGAACAATTCGTAAATTTCCAGTTACGGATTTGGGATTGAGATTTTTATTAATTTTTATCAAAACTTATGGAACACTGATGACAAAATTCTTAAAATGTTGAATTTTAGAGACAAAATTTCGGTAACTAATGGAGATTTGCGAATTTTTCTTATTGAAAAATTTTCCGTTGTAACCTGACATTTAAACCACCCTGTATGTACCCATGCACTCTCATAATTCCAGTATTAAACATTACCGAGCGAAACATACTTTTAATACCAAACGGTGGTACATACCCATACATAATTTTAACATTGAGAAATCCCGTTACTTTACCAAGTTTCAAACAGTGCATAAGAATTTTAAGCATAAATTTTATTGAAAAATTATTTGCCTTTCAAAATTTATAATTTCTTAAATAAGTTTTGTTCCCAGATAAACAAGATGCGGTCGAAAAATGGACCTTCTTTATAGCTCGGTTTACCCTTATGCAAATAATTATTGCCCTCCCCACCACAACCATTGTCCATCTATTTATATTCATTCTATTCCCTTGCCATGCACCCTTTCTGGGCTCGTTGTTCATTTCCAGTGATGGAATCTGCACGATACGCCAAAGTGCTTTCGTGTGGGGCTTAATTTCTGCAGTGCAGTGTATACTACTCTACGTCACCTTGGTCTTCGCCGCATTCGCGATTTGTTTCGTGTTTCTTTTGTCAATCGTGTGGATGCTACTTTTCCAGAGGAGGATGTTAAAGTCGTAAATGTTATAATGAGGGTATTAATTGTTTCTTCGTATCGCAAGTATTCTAAATACGTAGTAAAATAACTTGTCACATATGTAGATACTCCGTGCTGGTATTGATTTGGTAATAACTCCTTACCCGATTGGTAGGAAATTGTTCCTGAGTGGTAAATTTTTCATTACCACAACATTGCTGAAGGGTAATTCCCGTTAAGACTAGTGCCGGTAGAGTCACATACATATGTACTCCTGCCGGCAATGATTTAATACCAGTTTTCTAAGAGTGTATGTAAATACATACGACGGTTACGAGAATTTGTTTGGGGCACAAGATTTTGTCAACGAAAGAAAACGCGCTTTTTACGACGTTTAACCCCGTCTTTTCTCTTCGTAAAGTATTTTATTTTACGATACCGGGGATACGAAGAAATAACGAATGCCCTCAATATTCTACGTCCAGTTGTATGTTACTGCACCTAAAAAATAATGCTACCCGGTCGAAAAATAAATGCAGACGGAATTCTACATTAAGTAAAGTATAGAAAATTTAGGGATTCGCCGTCATGATACGTCATTAACAAATTGACATGTCAGAAATCTGTCCAATTTGTCAGGCAATTAAAATTTTTGACAAATATTACAAGTTAGACTCCCCATAAATTTCCCATTTGTCCGTCATATTGGGCTTGTGACAAATTGTTTAGTCAAATTGACAAATATGACGTTTTACAAATTCGACAAATTATATATCGGCTTGGCACGGATAAGCTCCACCCTTAACTAAATGAAGAACAACCTTAACTTTTTGTCAAGTCCTGGGTAACTTATCCAGGATTTAGCATTGCTTACTTTATATAGAATTGAGTTTCACTTAATTCTGTATTTCACAACTATTCGATTTACATTTGAAAAGGGTAACATTATTTTTAAGAGTGTTGCGGTGGAAGTACCTGCAAATATTTCATTACTAATAAATATTTAGGAATCCAACCAATATCAAGTCCTTCATCAAGAAATGCATTTCCCTTAAAATCTTGGAGGTCCGATTCAACGACAACTTCCGGTTCCGACTCCTCCCTACCTTCCTTTCTTTAGCGACCGTGGCCAACATTGTATTTCCCGTGGTCTTCCTCCTGTTAAGAAGTCAAATCTTGGGCAACCCTGGATTGTTGATGGTTCCAATTGTCTTCCTCCACTCTGCCCCAATCTACATGCTGGTGGGGACCCTGTCCGGAAAAGTGAACCAACTGTCGGAGAAATGTATGGCAAGAGTGTTATCACTTTCTACGGATAAGGTCTTGCTGCGTCGGTGTAAAGCAATTCCTCCGCTTCAGATAAGATTCGGTAGTAATTACATCGAAATGAAGACCCCTCTCGTTATGCTGAGCTTTTGTGTGGTGCAAATTGCTAACATGTTGATTTTGACGGGTCGGGTTTCGCATTAAGAGTGCTTATGTAAATACTGATATGAATAATCAATGTGCATAATTAATAGTAAATCAAAAGTTAAATTAAGCAGTCCTACCTGTAGCTAATGGCCTTTGCGTGCTTAAGTGCATTCATTGTATCAGCATTAAAACCATTTTTGCCGAAATAAACTGGACGAGTGCTTTTGAGGTTTGTTGTTTGGTCAAGAATTTGGCTTCTTTTTATTTCCTTTTAATAATCTAGCATTGCGTGCATATGTACACGAATATTTAGCCTATTTAAGACAAGAAATAATACCCATCAAGTCGACACCTTTCACACACCCGGGGCCACTGTCCACATATTTATGTACATAGCGTTAAAAGGGTTAAAAAATTTCATACGTATGTGTATATGTATGTAAATACTAAACATGCCTAAATCAATGCGTATTAATACATACACATTGAGGATATTCATTACTTCTTATTATTCCTACTATCGTACAATAGTTTACCAAGAAAAAACAAGGGGTCAAGTTTCGTAAAAATAGCAACCGTAATAACGTGACCTTTAACGACAAAACCTATCGACACTTACAAAATCTCGTAACCGTCATAAGTTATTTTGAGATGCGTAGAATGCTCAGGCTACGAAGGAATACCATCAAAGATGATGAACGTGGATGCATTTTTTTCACTTTACTCAAGGTTTATCGCATACCTGCATATTTACAAACATACATAGATCGCTCCCATGTACTTACATATTTAGTAACATTTTCAATCCTGTTAACTAAAGGACACATTTGCGACAAATTAATTGCCATTGTCGAATACCATCTAGTTAAACCTCTGTTCAAATAATTACAAAATACGAAGTGTATCTGACGAGTTATACGTAGATTGAGGACTACAGAAAGAAATCAAGTTACATACATATGTACATAAAATTTTATTCTTAACGAGTCGTCAGGACAGTTGCCCTCAAGAATGGAGAAAGCCTTATCCAACCCACTTGTGAGTTTATATTATTCTAACTTCGGGTAAATTATATGTATTAAATAAATATACATTAAACCTAGGTTAGGTATGTCGTATGTCTAATTGAGTATCGATAAATAAATATTTATCAATAAACATATTTTATTTCATGATTATTTATATGAAGAAAAGTAATTACTTGTGTAATTAATTATTTCGATACAAGTATATACATATGCAAGCATATGTATATACTTGGTGGAAATAAGTTATTAGTAATTAATTACCTACATTGTCAATTAATTTTGAGTAATAACTTTATTTATGTAGTAAAACTCAACCTTATACTTTTACAGATTCTCGAAAAAATACTAGCCTACACTCCCCTCAAAGAGGTTCGATTCGTATCCCACTTTTGGAACGATGTCGCCCTCTCCCAGGACCGATTAATGTTACGAATCCGAACAAAATACGGACAATTTGGGGCTTTCTGTTCTAACATGAATCCAAATTTGGGACGAAGTATTACTCTTCAAACGATACGAAGAGGTAATTATTTCCTTTGTCCGATCGATTTAGAAAATCTCTCCCATCTACAGAACACATGCGGGGAACAACTTCGCGAAATTAATTATATGGCCGTGACTGCGCAAACGCTTATCGACCTCGGCAAACTTTTGGATGACCCGACAAATTTTCAAAATTTGAAATATTTGCATTTAACCATTACCGACAGCGTTGCTAAAGGTTTTGGCAGTAAGGGAATTTTGGATTTTCAAATTCGCCCGCGACCAAGGCTGACGTCGATGAAGTTAGAAACAATGGGGGAAGTTAATACTTATCAAGGAAATTTGCTGAATTCTGCAGTTAATTTGGAGAGATTAGAACTGCAGGGAAATTGGTTGCCAAATCTGGCAATGAAGAGGAACCTTGTATGTAGCACTGAAATTTGTGGGATCTGCGAATTTTAGCTTGCAGAATTGTCCCAAATTTTTGCACAGGTTGCGAACTCATTTAAATTCCTGCACGTTGAGCAAATTGCATGCTGGAATCGTGGAAATGACGGCGTAATTGATATTAAATTACCGGTTATGCCAAATCTGCGAAAATTTGCGAATCTGAACATTGCCATTTTTCCTTGTCAACTTATAAACTTTTCGGGACAAAGGATGCAACAACTGAAATCGTTAGAATTGAGAAATCCGACCGACAACGGGTTAGGTGATATCGTTCGGAAAGGTGGTGATACACTGATTAATCCGGGAGTTACTAGGTTAACATTATACTCGGAAATTTCGCCTGATGTGGAAACTAAATTAAGAAGTCATTTTCCAAATTGTATATTTCATTTTGCAAATTATTTTCCTTCTTAATGGATATGTTTACTTTCTGAATATTCGTTATATTTAGAGGCCGTGCATAAATTAAGTAAAGCAAAAATTAGGATTTTCTTTACCCCCCCCCCACCCACCCTGCCCTCTACCGTTACATGTATCGCGTAGGTACTATATCATTGGAACCTTTAACCCCCGTTCCCCATTCTCACATTACATAATTTATGAACGGTACCTTAAGGGGCCTTTAAATTTTGAGGATATCATATACATAAATTTACCATAATAATTATTATGCTTGTTAAGCAGAGCTAGGAATTAACCGAGATTAACCAATGTGTTAATAAATGTCTAATTAATTAATAAATGTATAATCTTAATATTAATTTTAATCTCTGCAATGTCAATACATTGCTTAATCTCGATTAATTCAAAACTCTGTTGTTAAGTGGTTTTGCTAGTATGAAAAAATGTGTGGTCAGAGTATAAATATGTAATGGGATAACATGGAAGGAGAGGGGTCACTTCGAAGGGCCCAAGGTTAGACCTTTTTTAGCTACCTTGGATCCTTAGAAGTGCTAAAGGTGACCCCCGTCCTTCAATGTTATCTCACTACATATTTATATTCTGACTGAACATTTTTTGATACTAGCAAAACCACTTAACTAGCACTATAACTATTTTATCATCGGTGCAATTATTAGAGCAAATTATGACAAATATGTATTTGTTGAAGAATATGAAGTATCAAAGTTACATATAAAGTCCACTTTCTCTACCGAACTTATGTATTGGATTTGGGTACTATCATTCTACTTACATATCTATGTACCTATGTATGTTTAGATTTAAATACTTTATAAATAATTTTTAAACGTGTAAGGTTTAGAAGGGTAAAGATTGAATGACTTCAATAAATTCTCTATGTTTGTGTCTTTTGGTGCTAAAGAATTCTGAATATTGAGCATGTCTCTCTATTTAATAAGCATATAAAAATAAATATGTATTTAATAAAGAACCGATAATTACATAGTTTATTCCACTCTCACACACATACACAATTATTCCAGCTATGCCGAACCTATCTGCACGTTACAGACAGGTTTTCGATTTTCCACTTTACAATCATGACCAATACAGGGCGCCGAGTAGCACGGATTTACACATGTGTTCACCTTCTCAGGTTTCGTATAGGTTAATTGGCACACCAAGTGGGCTGGACAGTCTTCATCTGTGCCACATTTTCGGACACACTTTGTCTCAGGAAAACCGCCCTCGAGAAGTAATACTTTCTCAAATCCGGCGGCACAAACGCAAGCCTCTGTTTTTCCTTTCTTCTCACAAGTTGTACCCAGTTCCGGGCAAGATTTGGTACATGCTATTGGTAAATACAACAAAAATATTAGCAATCTATTGTCACTCCAATAAGTGGAGAGTAAATGTAGAATTCAGGTAAATTTTCAAAAGGGTAACATTATTTTTAAGAGTGCGCAAAAAATATGCAAAAAATGAGCTGCACTCTTAGAAATATTGTACAGTTCCATACATAGAAATAGATTTCGCAGTATTAAAATTGCTACCGCTTGGTATTAAAATTACACTGCTCCATAAGGCTTTGCTACAGATACGGTAAAACTTTAATACCGAGGTATTAGTAGACCGTGTTATTTATCAATACCACTTATGTATGTAGGTTGAGTTATTTGTTGTATTATTTTAACACCGGATTTCTAAGAGTGTAAGGAATAAACTCACCATCATCCAACCGTTTAACATTATATTCCGCAAAATACGTCCTATTCCTTAAGGACGCTAAACATAAATAAGTTCCTGGCTCGTAAGATTCCTCCGCATATGCGAATTTGACCCCTTCCCCGGGAACGACGTGGTACTTGAACTCCGCAAAATCTTCCATAGTTTCGCCATCCTTTTCAACTTTGACCAAACTTACGGTAGTGTTCGGGATGGACGAGAGGCACGGAAGGACGGCTTCCGTCTCATTAGTGAAATATACGTTGCCACCCCTCTGTCGGACGAAGGGATGCGAATTACCTGTCAAATTGATAGAAATGCATGGTGTTATTTTTCTTTGATAACTAATTCCAACGAATTTTAATACAATGTTAAAAATTTAGTCAGACAGGTATCGATAGGTGCCACCGATTAATATTAAAATTATGTATACCGTCTCTAAAAATTTGAAAAACGGAAATGGTAAAATTTTAATACCAACCAGTAGTAACTTTATTACCGAGAAGTCAATACCTGTCCGACTATTGCACACTTTTAACAGTGTATTATGCATAAAATATTTTTGCACACCTTCAACATAGATTGAAAAGGAGGATGTCAAATTGTTATTTTGCGATTTTCCACTGCACACAAATTTTCCAGTATGGTCACTCCTCAGTCCGGCAATGTCTTTCCGGATCCAATATTTTGGGATACACAATTCCCCGTTTTTCTCAGCACAGTCAGACGAACCTTGTCCTCCTGACAGGAAATTAAAATCCTGCAAAAATTATTTTTTTTCAAAATTAGTAGACATATTTACGTAATTACTGTTAAAAGTAATGATACACTCTTAGAAATAATTTTACCCGTTTGAAATCTGAATTAAGCAAACTATGTACACTAAACCGAGCACAAACTTTACTCTTTACACATCTAACTTTACCCTCGATTTGGTATAAATTCAGTTATTTAGAATTTATAATTAATTTAAAAAAATTAAACTTGTAACATTCCAATTAATCATAAACTCTTAAAAGTACTCTATTAAAACCGGTCAAGGTAGCGTTACTCTGGATTTAGCATACCTACATATTTAGGCAACTATTTAAATATAAAATTAAGAGTGCATTTATTTTCCGAAAGGATAACATTATTTTTAAGAGTGTACAAATGTGCTTTCTTTTCAAGTCCTAAATACATAATCATTGCCAAAATAACTTACCCCAACACCTTCAAACACAAGCGAAACTGGATATCGTGCCGAGCAAGTGACTTCCATTCCTTTCGAGTCGAACGGGTTGGCTGCAGACTTTTCTACAATTATTAAATCATTCTTCTCCGTTGTAAAATTTTCTGCCTTATTTGCAGGTGAATTAAGTAATTGGACACTAATTGTGGGGGCGGTTTGACTTGCACAAACTATTACCGGATAGGCGACACAGAAATAAGAAAAAATAGAAATAAGAAGACATCCCATTGATTTTTCTTGTCTCATTTTCGACAAAATTCCTTAAAAAGTATGGAAAGATTTATTAATCGCAATTCCTCTCTGATAGCTAGACAGAAATTAAATGAATAAATTTACTTAGGAGTGGATTATATTTATACACACCTGAAAAACCAGTAATTTCTTGGAAAGATGGCAAAATGGACACGTGTAAATAAATACTTATGCACATGCAAATATCCACACTAATAAAGTGGTAGTATGATCCCTGGCTGCCTGCCTGGCTGCCTGCCTGTCTGGGGAGCGATGCAAGTTGCCCAGTAGAGAAGACAAAGAAGGAAGCGGAGCAACTGCATACACTGCAATGCATGCATGAATGCATGCAGAACAATGCATGCACATGTACATGCTGCTACCCCACATACATACATGATGTATGATACACGACATCACTCATCATGATATACATTAATAGCTAATTAGTGGTTATCATGATAAGTGATCTTGATAAACACTATTAATTAATTATTTTAGTTTGAGAAACTCAACCCACAGCGAGTTGCATGTCAATTCGAATGTATTTTTGACCCTGAATCCAACGCCAATGGTTTTGACCTCCGAGCCCCCCGTGACCTTGCCGTGACCGTGGTATCCAAATATGGCTTATTCGTGATGTAGCATATCAATTCGAATGTATTTTTGACGCTGAATCGGAATCCGTCAATAGCTTGGCGTTAATTGTAGAAGATAACGGGGTTTATGGAACTTAACGGGAGTGTGATGCGTGGGAATATAAATGGTTAGCTCTGCAGTTACTCCCACGCGACGGAAATTTAAGTAATTAGCTATTCAACTACTCCCACAGGGGGAAATCAAATTGTACTGTGACCAGGTTAATTAAAATGCAGCATGACTTGGGCAAACCCTCACTCTGATGTATGTATGTGGTATGACAAAGTCTTCACTGGGAATTATTTAAAGTATAGTATGACGGATTTTTCGCTTTGGGCACACCCCCCACTGGAACCCTAGAACCCGGCCTTGGCCGGGCTATACGCTAGTTGCAAATAAATTGCTATGGTTCGTATCTCATTTTGTGACGTGTGCAGGCATTCCTGGAAAAACTGGTTCCAGTCTCATACGTATTTAACAAAGATGTTGTTGTATTTGACATCAGAATTGTGTTTGATGCATGAATTTCTTGCAATAATGATATCAACTACTTGGTAAATGGACAAGTTTTTCCAGGAATGGATACGTACACTCGTCACAAACACAACTGGCTGGAGTGTTGCATGAAACCTGTACAAAGGCAAAAATACATAAATCTCCATTAGTCACAAGGGCTTGGAATTTTTATTGATTGTTCATCTCTATTAAATACATACGTATCAATACTGGTGGAACATAATTTCAAAATTCTTCAAATTGCGAATTTCAGAGGTAAAACTTCAGTTACCAATGGAAACTTACATATTTTTCCCGTTGAAAAATTCTCCATTGTAGCGAGACATTTAAGCCCCTGATCATAATGTATCATGTATAAAATACGCATATATGTATATGTATATGTACATATGTATCTATGTACATATGTACACATATATGCACATATCTATGTAGGTATACACTTACATATGCTGCATAACAGTTAACTACATATAAGACAAGTAAAACGACAGTTTTGACATCTCAGTTTACGTCAACGTTTTGAAGAAAACTTTATTAATCGTTGAGCATAGTGTACTTTGCATGCATACATAAGTATGTACTTGTACGAATGCATGGGTTATCGGCTATATATTTACATATAGTTGACATGTATCGTCATCAAAAAATACTTATGGCACAAGCACAATAAAATTAATTATTCAGAAAATCTACACATTTCATACAAATTCGAAATTGACATATCACCCAACCAGCCATCAATCAGTGGACACTTATATTTGTATATGACGATCGTGATAAATTACATATTCATTCACTAAACGTCGTAAGTTTTACATTACTAAAGCAAGAATATTGCCGAGCTACATATGTAGTACTTAGCCTGACATTGTTCAACACTACACTTTCATCCAACGATTTCTAAATATCAGGAACGAATACATTCATAAAAATGAAATTCATATTCATAAATTTCCTCCGTGTTTTATTCTTCTACCCCACAAAATGTCACGCAACCAGTCTCAAAACAACATTATCCAACGTTTTGGCAGCATTTCAACACTGCTTCATCATAATTGAAGCCTTTCATAACAATTCATTACATAATAATACGACTCCCCCAAAACCTCCCCCTCTGTATGAGACACACCCAATTTCTCGCGGTTACCTGGCAAAAATTATAAATATTAAAGCGGATATAAAATTTAATCACGATCTCGGATTAGAGATAACCCCAAAGAAGAACGACATCCGGTTGAAGCACACCGCAAAGAATTCCTGTCTCGCATTCCTAATTCTGAATCCAGAACGCCCCTATTTCGGGGAGACCTTCCTCGACGTGACGGGACCAACACGAGCTCCTCTTCTAAATAAGACGGCACCTCCTCGAAAACTAACATTGATAAATCCTCTCCTTGACTTATTTTATCGACATTCTATTTCAGCAAAAGATGTTCCGGGCCATATTATTTTCCTGACTGAATCATCAACTTGGAAGAAATTTAAGGAAATTTTTGCCACCAATTACCCCGAAATGTTTTTGGTTTCGTATAACAAGATCCAGCCCACCTTGACCTTGTCATCATTCTGGCTTTCGAACACGTTCCACTCAAAAATGATGACTGGTCGGTGGCTGTCGTTGAATTGTGCGGGATTCTCAAACGTTTCAAGGTCCCCATGTCAAAACTTTGTTAATAAGGCATTGATGAATGTCTCCTCTTACAATAAATTCTATTGGGTGCCGTACCTGAAAACAGAACCGCGTTACCGACAAAATTCAAGCGTCATAAGATCAATTCAAAAATACTTGTCTCATCGGGACCCTGGGCACACAGAGTGGTACGAATTACTCGGAAAAGTAAGTATGGCTGCATACCTTACCCTCATTAATTCAATAAGGACTAAATATAGTATTCAGTTATTGTTCAACCAATTCATGAATGATATGTACGATAATATGTTTTCAAAATTTGTAAACGAATGAATGTCGAAGTAATATTTACTCCTTGTCACAAGATGGGTCTGAGATAAACTGAAGAACACATGAATATTTAAGATTCAATAATAAATACATACTCGGACCATAAGTGCCCGTACATGCACTTTTGGTGATAAATCAAAAATTATTAGAGCTATTTGCTAGAAATTTTTATGGATGAACAAGGCACTAATATTGTTTAGAAATCATAACTTAGTTTTCAAGATTTCGTCCAGGGGCCTTTATGCAAGACATAGCTCGTGACAGAAACTGCTCGCTCGCGGCACGCGCCATTTTCAGAACAAAAGGTTTTCAGACTTTTCGCCTTTCGAGACAAAGTTACATAGTAGAAAAAAATTGCCAGATATTTGCTCTACGGAACCCTGACATTCCATTTAGTATGCAGAGGTCAATCAGAAATTATCGCCCTGGATCTGACAGGAGCCAGTTGCATGGAAAATGCAAATCCCTGTTTTTTGCCGCAAAGGGTACAAGTTCAACCCAAGACTTATTTTCAGAGTTTCCAAAAGCTAATAGTTAATCTCATAGACTATGAACGCTTGGATAACCAACATTTGACTTTTCAAGATGCTCTGGTTGGCGACTATTCTGCAAAAATTGTCCAAAAATGGATTCGAACGAATTTTGAACGACTTTTTTCATCCCAGGAACGGTCCTCAGCATCTGTAGACCTTAGTCCTCTAAATTATGACCGGTGGCCAAAATTATAGATACAAGTATGTTCTAAATCTCACATAAGCGTGGATGGCCTGAAGTCATCCTAACGAAAGTGTGGAGCACTTATCTCATGAAAACGCTGCGTGCCGCGAGCGAGCAGTTTCTGTCACGAGTTATGTCTTGCGTATAAGCCCCTGGACGAAATCTTGAAAACTAAGTTATGATTTCTAAACAATATTAGTGCCTTGTCCTTCCATAAAAATTTCTAGCAAATAGCTCTAATACTTTCTGATTTATCACCAGAAATGCATGTACGGGCACTTATGGTCCGAGTATGTAAACAAATTATTAGGTACATACATATATGTATTTAATTATATTCACATTTCGAACAAATGAGTAACGCATGCATATTTTTTTCCAATTTTTAAATTGAATAATTAATATGGAATTAATAAATTATTTTTATTATTATTATATTTTTTGAACAGCTTGGTGTGGAAGACATTTTAAATCTATTGATTTTATCAGACACTGGATTCTTCACCTTTGGATCACCAGGACGGTACGAATTCGAACCTAAAAAGATATTTTCACTGTTTCAAACCGGGCCCTTTCACAAATTCAATTACACTATGTGGACCACTTCTTCGTACAATTTCCTCTCGTGCTATAACGTTAAAAGAAGTCCACCTGCCGTTTACACGTTTCCGTTTGACACCACGACCTGGATTTTAATAGGGTTCAGCCTCTTCGTGTTATTTCTAACCACGCAAGAAAATCGGTTACCAGATCTCTTCGATCTTATCGTCTTAGCAGCAAATCTCATCGACATATCAAACCCCCAAAGAAGACAGCGTCCCATCAGTGCTTTTCTCCTCTGGTTGTGGATATTTAGCGCGATGGTGCTAACCACGTGGTACAAAACGCTATTCACGTCCGACATCATTGAACCATTCGAGTCATACTCGGACTGGAAATCGGCCCTGGATTTAATCGGGTTTAAGATTCTGACACCGCTCGAAGACAGCGATGTTGCAGATGAAGAATACAAACTTGGAATTCCGTACGCTTCCGCCCCACTTTACGGCATTTTAATGTCAGGGATGCAATCCCTTAAAAAATTTGAGGAGCTAGACAACTACCTTTACGAACAGTGGGGACTCATCAGCAATGGGAATTTTGGATATCTCCATTACAAATATTGGGAGCATTTTATCAATAATGTGACGAAATGTGGATACAATGAGAAAGTGGCGTATGTCGACACTTCAGAGAATATCGATTCCCTTATGCCATTCGT